TTCGTTTCAAATTATCTGTTATGAATTTCTTTTTATGCCATAAATTTATTATTTTATTTAGTTTTGTTTGTATATTGGTAGTAAGATCTTTTTTTCAGGTTTATATGTTTTTATATCACTTATTAAGCCTAGCATTTTCGTTTTGTATTCACTTTTTAACGTAATTACAGTATTGTTACATTTATAACATTCTCTGCTGTTAGTAGGCAAATGTTTGTGTTTTCATACATACATTTTTTTGTTTCATTTATCAGTCCATTAACATGACATGCCATATTTTTATTTGCGTTTTGTTTTATTTTACCTTTGAAATTTGTTAAGATGTTCACAATTTATTTCTGATCTCGTTCTTTGCCTCATTATTTAATGAGAAGATTCCATGTTCAATGCTTGTTATGATTTCTGAAATTGGACCATAGTGAGCCTTATTTATGGAGAACCTAGGTCCAAGTGATAAAATATATTTTACGTTGTTCGGTATGTTTAGTGAAGTCAAATTCTTTATCCAATTTTCATTAATGTTACATTTGTTTGTTCTGCCATGTTTCTTTGCTAAAAGTTTTTCTAGTTTATTTTTTTGTTTTGTTTTAATCTTGTTGAACACAGTTTCATATTTTTGCTCTTGTTGTTCATAAAACACTTTTATTTTATTTTGATGGCATGTTTTTTGTTGAAACGATATTTTAACATTATTAATGTCTGTCAATTTTATTCAGTTTGGAACAACAATCGCTCAGTATTATATTTAAACATTGCATATAGAATACGTCCAAGACTTTCAAATATGAAATGGAAAACTGATGATGGTGGAAAATTACACCGAAACGTATTTTGATTTAGGAGGAATCTCATTTTTTGCGGCGAAACCAAAGGCAAGTGTACGGATATCAGCTATTGCCAATCGAAAAAAGCAGTCTGGGAACTCAGCTATACGTTCAGAAAGTAGTTTTTTGCGACAAAAGACCAGCCTCTCTTCCCTACTCGCTACTGCACCGAAGTTAAAGCAATTGAAAACAAACGAAAGCGTTTTTTCATGTTTAATAAAAACTGGTCGCTCAAGCCCAAAAAGGTGCAAGAGCACCATCTGGTGCGCGCGATTTATTCACCAGAACCACTTGGACAACCTTGATGGTATGACGCAACCTCCATGGGTTCCCCACGCCATCGCCCAACGCCAGCTTTGTTGTTCACCTCAGATTAACGCTGCAACCATCTTTGTAAGGTACCGTCACAAAGTGGTTGCAACTTGGTTGGTTATCGCGAATACCGCCCGACCATTTGGGTTTTTGCTGGTGCTGAGCCGCCGAAAGTGAGAGTGCGTTGGGTGTGCGAATGGTGTTCCTGTGCTCAGTTTCGTCAGTCTGCTGGTCCAGGGTTTAGGGCGATTATGGTATGTGGTTGATGGAGGAATGCGAAGAATGCGCCTTGTTTTCGCGTATTAGGTCACCAAGCGTAGGTATCCTTGTTGGGAGTCAAGGATGGTGCGCTTGGTGGCTATGTAAGGAATACCTGCTGTTAATTGTCACCTTAGGTGGACGAATTGGTTTACAAGAAGTATAGCAATGTTTTTTTGCTGCTGGCGGTTTTGTTGCAAACTTGAATTTATCTTGCAGTCGCTCAAAATTTCGGAAATTTTAGGAAAACCCGTGGTTTCAAATAATCGACCTCTTACACATGAGCAAAGTGGGCTTTTATGACCCACTAGTAGGCAAAACGCCCACGCATTACCAACCCAACCAAATTTTACTTCTGGCTTTAAAGTGCAGCATACATATAAATAAAAATTCCCATTCAAATCATTGGCCGATTTTCCATTAAACATCCAACTGTCCATCAATCAAAGCGACTCTATTGCCCATTCCAAGTGTGTTTCTTTGTTATCAGAAGCATCGGCACGACTTCATAACGAGAAAAAGAGAAACTCGAAAGTCAAGTACAGGCAATGTTCGTGTCAGGGCCAATTCATGGCTAAATTGAGCATTCAAAGAATGATTTTCCGCTGAAAACCTCTCGTAGGCTTCTTTATTCCATGCATTATTAGACATCAAAGAATGGAAACCCACTTGTTTTTTTTTGCGCAATACAAAGCGCCTATCTGTTGAATAAGACACTGTTTCTCTTAAGTCATGCATGCTCGTGCTGGGTACCGTTAGTTGAAACCCAATTAAAGTTTCATTTCACCGAGAACCAGGAAAGACAGTCATAAAGACGGAAATCTAATCGTTGATCTGCCGTTGTCAGTGGCGTGTAATTCGTGGCTTTAACGGGTTCCCAGAACCAATCGGGACATTGATTCTCTCGAAAAAAACTTCAACTAGGGAAAGCCCAAAATTTGCTTGTGCAACTAGCGCAACTGGTTCACTTGGACGTAATATTTCTTATTACACCAGCACCGTTAGCAAAACACACATTAGAACTGTATTTTACGCAGAAAAACTGTAAACCTAACAGATCAGAATGTTAAGCCAGTAACGCGACAAGTCCAGTTCCTCATTACGTCAACGTAATGGCAATTTAGCATTCGGATCTGGCCTTAATATAAATTGAATCGCTCCCTTGCAACAAAACAATTCATTTTCCTCTTCCTATATGCTGGTGGAATCCCATCATTAGCACGCAACAAGTGCCTTGGATCGGCGCCAAATTCGCTTTTAATGATGCAGAGTCACAGAACAAGAGGTTTTGTCTTAAAAACGAACCACTTTCTCTTCGTACGCAAATTTGCAGTGTTTTTTTCGGTTGCACATACACGCCGACCTGGTTACATAAATAATTGGCTATTGCTACAATTCGGTTGCTCATTCGTGTAATTATGGGGTAAAGTTCGTATTGCCGGTCGGAAAGTCTTCAGGCCAAATTATATTCTAAACTAAGCCCCTGGACGTGAATACTAGTGATGAGCAGGACTGGTTGTTTTGGTCTTGGTCTGGAAAAGCAAGAACTTGTTCTGTAAAACCATGACTTTTACAAGGGTCTTGCGAAAATAATTCGGTATTGAACCGCATTCCTCTTGGCCCTTAAATATGATTAAAAAATTGGAAAGGTTTTTAACGTTTAACATACAAACTGTTCACTTAAGTTAGAAAACGTAAAATTGGGGACATAAATAAGACATTTGTTTACAAACTTTTTTTGGGTATTTCGCCTCAAAAATTTTTGTTTTTAAAAAAGACAGAATTTCCTCACGTCTTTTATTACAGATTGATAAATAGTGCTCCTATCTCGCAATAAGAACGAATTATTTATCAAAAAGTAATCAAGAACTA